TACATCAACACACTACAATACTGTTCTGATACATCACTATGTAGTACTAATACATAACATATATTAGAATGTGAGCATCTGTATATAATAAAACTTTGCTATAATATGCTAAAAAATCTGTGAAGCTGTGTGGGGGTCCATTACATCTTCAAATACACACTCACAAACAGCAGGGCTGCAGTGATCGATCTGCCTGGCCTCGATTTTGCGCCGGCTGTTCACATGCCCCTGGTTGATATGTTTTTAGCTGATATGCAATAGATTCAACAAAGAAGTCAACAAAAGACACATCCATATATATGAAAAAAGTGAAGTTCTGATTTTGTATTCAGTAGGTAAATGTAGTCGATGCTTTCTGAATGACATTTTCTCTTTATAAATCTTTACTCTTTTGCTTTATTTCTCAGAGATAAGCATCAGCCTAAGAAAAGGGAAAGAAAAATCCAAAAGATAACCAACGCCATACGAGCCTTCGCCTTAACTAACCTCATCCTTGTCGGTTTTGGCATCACCTGTCTTATCCCTATCCTCCAACTGCAGGTGAGTGAATGCAAACCTTTCTGCTCCCAGAAATGAAAAACTGTTCTTAGATGACTTGCCCATACATGAACACTGTCATGAATCAGAGGCAGCTGGATGTAAGCATGAGCTTAATCTTTATTAAAGAATCTTTATTAAACTTTATTAAGGATTATCCAAATTGGCAGACAGAATTGTGGTAAGAAAACAAGTAGAGGACAAACAACCTTCAATACAGTGAAGCCAAATCAAAACCAAGAAAACAATGAGGTAAGAACGCTTAGAGTACTGGAAAAGATGGCAAGTCCTCACAAAGAACAGACAGCTTAAATACACTGTTTATTAAGAATAAACAGGAAACAGGTGTGTTATTGTTCAGGTGTTTGTGAGAATTGTAAAATCTGGGCTGGATTTGGATATGAATAAAGAATGGAAATAATTGTGACAAGCACTCACCATAAGCAGCATAAACCTGCTCTTGAATTATCCCTAAACTTAAATATGTAGTATTACCAGGTTATCAACATTTTTGCCAATTTTCCCCATAACTAGTAAACCATTCTGCTATAAATTAACATCACTGCCTTTGTTCATTGTCTCCTCCCAGAGGACAAAGTGACCAGATGCTTTACAAATAACACAGTATTAATAATCGACTTGTCTATACACATCGTTCGCGGGCTTGAAAAGAGCACCCTGTTAGGTCTGGGTTGTATGTCTCCATGCTCTTGTGTGCTCTCCTCACTTACCATTCTCCCAACTGTATGATTTCTATACCTTTTATCTGTTCTCACCTTACGAAAGCTTAACTAGGCCATATGCAGTGCTATTTCAGTTGGTATGAAAATTACCAGTCAAGTAAAAATGTAACATGCAGCATGAAAGAATCATAAAGGGTGCAAAAGGCAAACAGTTCCAAGAGGACAGGTTATGAGTGTCTTGGCTGAAACAACTATCTTTAATATTTGATTACCCAGCTAACGTTTTGCCATGGTTGTGGCTCTTATGATAAGGTAATGAACACATAAATTGCAGGGTGTTGTCTGTTTTATGGCCACACGTGTGCCAGATTCATCCAGTTGGTCAGTACTGACAATTGCGCACACATAGTGTCCTTGTGGTAATGTGTAATGGATTGCTGTATGTTTGTTCCAACAATACGTAATAAATTAATGAAAGAATTCAGTTTTTAAATATAAAGTGTTACCTTTTTGGATATTGAAAAGACTGACTTTCTGCAGTGTTAATGTCATGCCTGGCATAGGATTAAGCAATAAAATATAAAGATGCGTTCATTAACACCCTAACTAACTTAAATACATTGGATTAAATGATACATTGAAAGATCAGGTGATTAAAGCTCTGATCTTAACCAACATTCTCTCTCACCAGATGCTCTCTTTTGTTCTGCATACCATTGTCAGAGGTTTTATCCACTCAGCTATTGGAGGACTTTATGCCGCTGTGTAAGTTCGCTACTTTTAAGTTAAACTTTAAGTCAGCTGCCAGTGTAGCACTTCTGGTTGTAATGTAGGAATTAACCATTCTTATGGATGTGCATATTTGTGTGTTTCTTTACAGCTACCCATCTTCTCAGTTTGGAACACTGACGGGGATGCAGTCCCTGATTAGTGCCCTTTTTGCCCTTCTCCAGCAGCCTCTTTTTATGGCCATGATGGGGCCACTGGGGGGAAATCCACTCTGGGTATGAACACACACACACTCAGAAAGAACTGCACTGTTAAACAGAGTAATAGTAAGAATCTGCAGCCTGTGGAGTGTTGTGATCTCAGACCTCTAAAATTTGTCACTACGTATTCACACTCTTACAAGCTCACTTTCACATAGTGTGTAATAAAAGTGGTGGTGCAGAAATGGCTTAACCCCTTATTCTTTCTCTCCTCTGTGTATCTGTTCCAGGTGGATGTGGGTCTCCTCGCCCTCAGTATGCTTGGTTTCCTATTGCCCCTCTACCTGCTGTGTTTCCGCAAAAATCTCCAGCGAAAGAGGAAAGAGAAAGAATACGAGGCCAAGATCTACATCAAAATCAATGGCAGTGACAAGACGGAAGCCTTCATCTAGATCCAAGTCAGACCCAGAAACTGAAGCAAGGATATACAGAGACAATGTGTGTCATTTTTTATTATGACATACACTCATGCACACACCTCTTGCTTAGAGGTTCAGCGGACTGATATTGCGCTCTTGAAAACTGATACATCATCAGTGTGAACTCATGCTGACAACAACAATGGCAGAAAATGAGAGACATGTAAAAAAAAAAAGAAGTGGAAGTAGTGAAAAGCTGTGTGTTTAACTGTATATTTTACTACCTTCCCTAGATTTCTAGCTCTTCTCACTGTGTCTGATGTGTGGGGGGGAAAAAACATTTGCACATTCATGTTCTGCTGCCTAACTCTTGGTGCCTTACTGATGTGCTTTTATTGAGAATTTTATATTTGTATGAGTTTATAAGGATGCATTAAACAAGCTGGTCCATATGAGTTGGCTGAATGAATTATGAATAGTAGTACCTACATTTCTGTTCCACTTCCATTTAGAGCCTCATTCAGAAATTCAGTAACAGCAAAAAATCAATCAAGAAGTGCATCTTAAACCCAGTAAGTGCCTTCCTTCTACTGTCTTTGGATGGGCTTAAAAATCCTGGCCTGTGTCGCTCCCTAGAGGTAAAAGTAGGAAATGCTAAACTGCAAACCCAGCTAGCGAGCTGTACTCTCCTGATGCACAGCACCTCAGGGAGGCAGTATTTGACCCAAACCGACATATTTGTCTGGTTGTAGAGATTTTAACAGGTCCAGTAACTTAAGAGGTGCTATGGAAGATCTACAGGGATCCTATTTATTTACAATGATATATTGGATTACATTTTTTTTAAATAAAATAATGTAATACAGAGAAGCATAAACCATGCACATAGTTGCTCGTACATTTTTTGGTCTGGAGTGAATGTTTGCTACTTTGGTCCACCTTTTATCGGGAACTACGGAACTTTTATTTTATACATTACCCTTCAAATCCTCACATTCCCCTGCATCTGTTCCTTCTGAATTGTTGGAATTCTGTTGATATCTTATGGACTGTAGTTTTTTTATTGTCAGACAGGGATCATAAATATTAATGTGTCCTTTAACATCAATAGCTTAAAATAAAAGTAAAAGATTTAGGAGATGTTTCTGCTATTTAAAATGTGATAAAAGTGCAGTGATGAAATGCTGATGAACTGTGTATTTATTTGCTCTATTTCTTAATTCTAAGCGTTACATCCAAGTAACATGCTTCACCCTTATTAGTTTGATAACCAGCTAGCAAACTACTTTCTGTTTTTTTTTTTTTTTTTTTAAGTTATTGATATTGAGGAATAACATCAAATAAAATGTGATTTTCCTCATTGCTTATTTTGCCTTTACTTCCTTTAATGTAATTGTCTGTAAATGTCAGAATATAATTTTGCAATACATCTGGAAGATACAATTTGGGAAAATAAGAGAATGTTTTTTTTCTATAATTATTTTAAAAAAAACATCAAAACAAAAATCATTCTGTCAAAATGGTAGCTAAATGCAGATAATGGACATTTTATGAGAGGTATGGAGCTTTACATGTGTATTTAATATGCTGTTAAGCATAAAACGATCAGATGCAAAATAAAAGCAATTGAGTAGCTGACACTGCTTCTGAAGAATGTTACAGTTACATTTATTCAATTAGTAAATAGTTTTATGAAGAGTGGGACATAATACAACACAATACAACTGCATTTCGTTGTCTCTGTACTCATACCCTGACAATGACAACAAAGTTGAACCTAACCTAACCTAAATTAGCTGAGCCATTGATAGATGACTTTCTCATCTATCTTTATCATTGCTAATTTTTTCTATTACGATTATGTTTGTGATGATTTTATTCTGCTACCACATAGAATGTCAATTAAGTGAGGAGTCTTTTCATGATGGTTTGCTGACAGCACAAAACAGTGTCCGCCCTCTCATTTTTAGGTCTCCTGACAAACAAGCTGTTTTCAGTGTTCAGTAGGTGGTGTGTGGGGCCAGAAGCAGAGAAAAGACAGTGAAATAGAGATGCATCTCGTATTGATCTGCCAAAAATATTAAGCCCATAATTACATAAACATGTGAGAAAATATCATTTGTTCCCTTATTTATATTCCCTTAGTATACACGAAAAGATGAGCTCTCTGTTTGGAGAAATTTGAGGAAGTGCATATATGGAAGCTTAATTCGCATTTCTTATACTCTTCACGTTATAAGAAATGAAAAAAAAAAACTAAACTTCTCACATTATACACTGATCAGCCATAACATTAAAAACACCTGCCTAATATTCTGTAGGTCACCCATCCATACACACATTTATGGGATTTGGCAGACGCCCTTATCCAGAGTGACTTACAATTATCTCAATTACTTAACTGAGCAGTTGAGGGTCGAGGGCCTTGCAGTGGCAGCGCTGGGATTTGAACTCTCAGCTGTCTGATCAGGAGTCCAATGTCTTAACCACTGAACTAGCACCTCTCACTTTCTTACACGCTTACACGCTTACACACACACACACACACACACACACACACACACACACACACACACACACACACACACACACACACACACACACACACGTGGGACACATTAGGCAGCAATTGAACTGTCAGTTCTCAAAGTTGATGTGTTGGAAGCAGGAAAAATGGACAAGTGTTAGGATCTGAGCGACTTTGACAAGGGCCAAATTGTGATGGCTAAACGAATCTCGGAGAATCTCCAAAATGGCAGGTCTTGTGGGGTGTTCCCAGTATGCAGTGTTTTGTACCTACCAAAAGTGGTCCAAGGAAGGACAACCGGTGAACCGTCGACAGGGTCATGGGTGCCCAAGGCTCACTGATGCGTGTGGCGAGCGAAGGCTAGCCTGTCTGGAGATGGCACCAGGATGCACTATGGGAAGAAGGCAAGCCAGCAAATACAGGAGACAGCTAAATACTCTGGGCAATGTTCTGCTGGGAAATTCATGTGGATGTTAGTTTGACAAGTACCACCTACCTAAACATTGCTGCAGACCAAGTATACCGCTTCATGACAGGATAATGCACCATTCATATAAATCCATCATATATCATACTATGTAAATAATGTAAATAATAAAATATGTATTGCAATTAATATTGTAATTAATTCTATTGTTGTTCAGTTAATTGGATTGGTTATCTTTTTTATTTGCTCCCAACATTTACAACTCCTGAACAAACAAACTAACACACACAATCTTCTTCTTCTTCTATCATTATTATTATTATTATTATTATTATTATTGTTTGATCTTGAGCTCAGGTTACTGTCCTACTGTCGTACCTACTAAACATGGTGGTAGGTGAACTGGCTACTATAAATTATTTCACCAACATTTCATTTCGCTGGGAGAGAGAATAGCAGTGCGAGAGAGAGAGAGAGAGAGAGAGAGAGAGAGAGAGAGAGAGAGAGAGAGAGTATTATGCAGGCATGATATAATGCAATAAAGAGATGCAGGTTTACTGTTACATAATTTCTGGCAGCTCTTTAGTGGAGATCAGTAAGTCTTACAGTCCACCAACCAGATGCTATCCCTCACTGGCTACAGTTTATACATTAAACCTACAGACGCTTTAACTCAAAATCCCCTTTAGATGTTCAAATGGGATAAGACATATAATATAAAGTAATTCTAATATATATTAGAGAGAACCTTGAACGATTCAAGGACTTCTGTCTTAGACGGGACGTTCAACATGATGTGTTATAACCAAATGCAAGTAAATATGGCCTGGAATTTTGTTTTATATATATATATATATATGGACTCTGAAGGTGTGCTCACTCGGATAGAGATCTGGGGAATTTGGAGGTCATGTCAACACCATGAGCCAGGATCTTTGTCATGGCATAGACCGCGTGACGTCACATTACGCAGGGGGGGGGGACTCTAAATGCATACATATACATACATACACATGTACACATACAGACATATATTTGTGTGTGTATTAAGAACCCCCTCCCCGGAGTGTGACGTCACGCTGCCTACGCCATGGCTCGGGCTTGTGTGATTAGGGCGAGTGCGCCACGCCCCCTCGGCCCCGATCAGGAAGCGGAGCGGAGAGAAAGCGCTGCTAGAATGACACAGAAGCAGCGCTGAGCTGTAGGACAGACTGCGGCTAAACCGAGGACCAGCTCCAGCACGGCATCTCAGCGACATCTCACCAAAACACACAGCAACGACAAAAATGCTCATCAAAGAATTGTAAGTAGGCGTTTTTTTTGTTGTATGTGTGTGTGTTTTTTTTTAATTCCTCATTGACGTGTTGGGAAAAGGGTAAAGCAGCATCCTCGGGCTGAGCAGCGCAGGTGGACTGGCGTGTCTCTGATCCAGGCCATGACTTACTTAGACGTCAGATCTCGTCGAATGTATACCTGCTTTTTGACTGACACTCTGTCCGGATGTACACTATTGACCTGATCCTGATAGTGACAGTGTCCAGTCTGCATTCATTTTCATGTCGCTTGTCATTTTCCCCCTAAATCCTCGTTAGCGTGAAGACAGCGGGGGTTTGACATCTCGTTTATTTAATCTGCTGTGTCCCTCCTTTCTTCCAGAGCAGTTACTGCATGTCAGTTACTGATAGACCGTTAGTAAAGGGGAACCAGCTCGATACAAACCTACTACACAATGGCACACTGTGTCCCTACATTCACTGTATTTTAGGAATTCGTTTTTTTTTAAACTTCACATTACTGACATTTCGTTACATCTTATTGTAGCCTGTATTAGCCTACAATGCTCCTCCTTTTTGAACGTGTGTAATCTGAGAAGCTGTGTTTGTTGGTTTAGCATCGAATGATGCTACATACGCAAACATACCGGCATCCTGACGTGTAGAAATGAACGTGTTCCCTCCTTTAGGCTACCAGCGGGGACATATGGTTTATCAAGGTCATTAGCAAGATGAAGTTATCGAAAAAAAAGGGTCACTCCTTTATAATATCAAACCTAAATTAGTTGACGAGAAAATGTGGGATACATGTTAAATACGAGCTCGTCAGTATTGTGTCTTTTTCGTTTGGAGCCTGAGGAAGGCTGAGTAAGACCTGCTCGAGCACGGAGCACACTCCGAGCCTGTGATTGGTCCGTTCAGGCTCGTGCGTTAGCGATGAAACGCGCTCAAGGACCTACATAACCTCACGCGCCCTGGAATCCTGAGCTATGGCTACTGAGGTCGTAACCTGCTCCTGTGACGTGTGTGTAGTATTTGTAAGCGTAGTGCACGGGCTGTGACGTGAGTTTCTAACAGCTTCTGTTCTTCAGGTCATTAGCGCCATAGATTAAAGGTCACGAGCTACAGGGATTAGAATTTTGACCGGATGTATGCAGTTGTTGCTTTTTTACAAAAGGGTGCTTTGGTGGTCCGCAAAGAAAAGCTTGCCTTTCTTTTTCAAGAAGTAGTGAGAAATGAATAATTTTCAGTAAAAACTTTGGATGTAAATATGGTTACTTTAGCACATTGGACTAACGATTTTTTTCTGCTTCTTACCTTTTCTGTAAGAGAAACCCTCCTTTGAAGGGTTCTACCTAAAATTGTTTCCCCTGAGGAACTCCTTTCGGGTGCTACATGGAACGTCAAATTTGCATGTGTAGTTCAGGGCAGTATGGTGGTGCACTGGACAGCATTGTCTCCTCACAGCTTTAGGGTCCTCGGTTAGTTCCTGGACTTTGAGTTTCTGTCTTTGTGAAGTTTCTGTTCACGTTTTCCTCATGTCCGTGTGGGTTTCCTCCAGGTTCTCCAGGTTACTCAGTTACATGCATGTAGGCAGATTGGCAACACTAAATTGCCCATAGGTGCAAAAGATTGTGTGCATGGTGCCCAGTCATTTACTGGGTTCATTCCCACCTTGTGCCCAGTGTTCCCTGGATAGGTTCCGAATCCAGCATGACCCTGACCAGGATAAAAGGGTTACTGAAGATGATTTAATGAAAGAATATGTAGTTCATGTCTGTATGTAGGCTATTTGTGAACACACGTCTCTGCTTTTTAGGGTTGATTCAGTTATTTTATTACTTTATTACTAGCTATTTGTTTTAGCGCAAAATAAAGAACTGGCTTTTATCATGCGCTGTCCATGGTACCTGAGTTTGCTTGGTTGGTAGCTCAGGTTAAAACAAATTTTGTTCATTTGCATGGAAGCCAAATATAATATTATGAGTCATACCTTCCTGACTGAATTATGTTAATTTGCTTCACTTCAAGGTCACAGTCATATTATGCTGTTAAACATGTTTATGGTTTTAGAATTTGGGCACATAATCTTGTTTGTGGTTTTGTGAAATTTTTGTGCATCAAGACGAAGCAGTGATTTCTGTCTACTTAGCCCTCTTGTGTTAGACCCACTTCATGTTCAGAACCCTGATGTGTTCTTTGCTGGACAGCACCATCACCTGTGTTATCAACAAATGTGTAACAAAATGCAATTAAAGGGAGCAGTACAATAAGTAAATTCAGCATTTAGGCAGCTGGGCACTGTGACTCAGGGAGATGTTCATAATGCAGGAGATTGTGGTGTCATATAGGCAGAGGAGAACAGAGACACCGGATCTCCTATAGTGACCGCTAGTGACTGTGCAGGCTATAGAGGTGCTCAGGCAGAGAAGGTGACTCTTGCTGGTTCACAGTCAATTTTTGCATCACAACGACTGCAGCCTTAGACAAGCTGAAAGCACCCTCTCTAACTATGAGCACTGGAGCTGAACTAGTCGGCACACTTTGTGTCAGACGTGTGGCCATGTATGGTGGTGAAGGCACATCTGGGAGAAGTTTTGTGGTGTTTGATGTTATGAGACAGACAGGAGCGTAGATGGGAAGAGTCTAAAGCCAGTGAGCCGCTGGTGTCGTCTTACTCCTGAAGAGTATTGATAAAAAATGCAGGCAGTACAGAGTGAGCTACACTGCCAGTGCCAATAAGAAGCACAAATAGCATCTTTAAAGTGCTCTTAAAAAGTTCTGTGTAAGAGACTATTTGAAAGTCTAATTCGTAGATTCTGACATACCACATAAATGGAGCTAATGAGTATAGGATCACTAAAAGGTAGTAAAACAGGCCTGAATGGGGCCCTTTCAGAAAAGTGTTAAAGATGAAGTTGATTCTGGCATAAGGAGTGAATAGTTTAGCCTGTGACCACCAAGATTTACTCAGCCAGACACCTATGCATAAGTTGTTTGCATATGCAAAGTATCCAGACTTCATTGTCACACTGGCATGACCTGTCTGCATTTCTCATGTCATTGGTATAAGAAAAGGAAATCTGGTTGTGGAAAAACTATGGTAAAAATTAGGATCATATCCCTTCAACCTTCCAGAAATGATCCAGTTTCAACTAAATGTTAATTAAGCAAGCAAGTAGACTTAGCACTATGTGCTGAGGCCTGCCCTCTACATTTGATGTACCAGAAGCTTTTTAAACTCTTTAACTTCCAGTAAGGAAAACACCCTGAGAC